TAAAACCTTGAGGGACAGAGAGACTGTGAAAGTATTAGAATAAAACAAAAATGGATTCTTTTACAGTTAGCTCAATGAAATAAAATGGCCTTTTGATTTAAAATCTATAACTCACTTAAGAGTGAAACATTCAACTACTAAAAATAGTTGCTACATGGAAAAAAGTACCATGAGCAAAATCAAAACAAATAATGTTTTTTAAAACCTGAAACAGAGCTGGTGAGATGGCTCAGTGGTCTAAAGCACCTACTTAGAACAAGCTTAGCAAAGCATAGGGACCACGGTTCAATCCCCCCAGCACCACATGCCAGCCAGGCCCGCCCCCTGGTGGGCTGAGCTGGCCACACACACACAAATTTTTAAAAAAAAAAATTTTTTTTTAAACCTGAAACAAATATTACAGAGAATACTTTTCCTTTCCTTTGTATCAGAGCTCCAGAAAATAAGAAAAAAATCAACAATTGAATAAAAAATAGGCAAAGTAAGCCAGTGTGGCTGCACAGGCCTATAATCCCAAGACTCTGGGAGACAGGAAGAAGGAATGCGAGTCTGAGCCCAACCTGGGCAACTCAGCAGCAAGTGAAATTTAGGAGTACACAATTCATACAAAGAAACGCACATGGCCCTTCAAACATAGTAAAAGCTGAAAATCATCCATGATGAGAACCAAATCGTTAACAGTAATGGACACAAAATTTGTTATCAGATGACAAAAAAGTTTGACCATACTCTATTTTGCTAGGGATAAGGAAAACCTCCTATAGAGAGGAGAGTAGAAACATTTTAACAATTGTAGGTGAGTTTGTCCTTTTGCCCACAATTCTACTCCTAAGAATCTTTTCTGAACATATATTTAATGTCTGTATCAATTGACATAAAGATTTATTCTGTATAATATTATAAAACTAACAAAAATTTAGATAACCAAATGTCCATCTGGTCAAATATACTATGGTGTATCTACTGAATGAAGCATTATGTACCCATAAAAATTAGAGTTCTATGACACAGAAAGATTCCCAGGAGAATATACTGTTGGTAAGGTAAGACATGGTTTTTCCCATTATTTATAGCTCCAAAACAGAGATACAACTGATAGTTAAAGGGATAAGCAACCACTGTCCCACAGTTTAACTTGCAGCATCTTAATTTTTTTAAATGGTATATATATTAATGGAGTATTTTCTCAAAGCTGATTAAACTAGTGAATAAAGCAAATACAAATCAATGAATAAAGGAGACTAAAGGAGGCTACCAGCAGTGATTCATATGAAATATAAGAAAAAAAAAGAAAAAAACTCAAAAAAGTTCATTTGCCAGAATTTGCCTAAGGAAACACCAAAATGATAAACTATAGACTACCGAAACTAGGTGCCTAACCAGTGGACAAGAGGGATAGGGCAGATGCGCGGATAAGTAAAAAGCAGGACTTCTTCCTCTATACTTCTCTATATAATGTCTGAACTAGGGAAACAGGTTATCCATTCAAGCAAAAAATTAACACCTCCACTGAACAAACTGTTGCCTCAGATTAAAAAGGCTTGATGAGTAAGATAGGATCACCTCTACTCCTCCCTTCTTAATATCCCTTATGGATGCTACAAAACTGAAGTCTAGCCTCTACATTAGATAGGTCCCTCCCAGTCTATTCACCATTTTTATAATTTTTTTGTGATGTTGGGATTGAAACCAAGGGTTTCATACATGCTAGGCAAGTACCGTACCACCACTCAAGCAAGCCTCAAACCTTTTCTTTAACTTAACAATGATTTTTTTTTTTTTTTCCTGTGAAGAAATTGTAACGTTCTACATAAAATTACTTGTCTGAGGCTGAGGAGACAGCTTGGTGGTCTAAGCTCCTGTCCAGCAAACGCAAGAACCCAGGTTCAATTTCTGGTACCAAATGCTGCGCCAGCCACCAAACCAGGTGTGGTGACAACACACCTGTAATCCCAGTGCTGGAAAGGCTCAAACAGGAAGATCACTACGAGTCCAAGCTGCATAGTGAGACCCTCTACCAAATACATTAAAACAAACAACAAAAACAAAACCAAGGAGTCAATATTATTCAAACCAATTTTTTAGCAGCCTCCTTTACATTTTAAAACTTGCTGATTCAGAAAGAATGGTTACAAGAATAAAATTTTAAGGTTTTCTGATCAAAAAAGATTTAGAATTAACTTCTACCTGAAAGGTTACTAGGTATGTCAAAAATGTTGATAAGCACATGGCTAGAATATTATACTTCAGATTTTCAACAAACATGATTCCTTCCTTATGATGTACACTATTTCTTTAGTGCTATTTTTAGCTATTAGTACCAGAACACGCTAAGCAAGCAATCTTATTTCTGAGCTACCCCAACCTTCCTATTAAACCAGCACACTTCCAATAAGTAATTTTACATAGTATATTACAGTTTCTTGAAAGAAAAAAGATCCATGTTTGGTTATGAAAGAAAGGTTTGGGATGTAACTGAGTGGCAATGGAACATTTGCCTAGCATGTATAGAAAAAGCAGCACAGGCTACACTTTGTTTCTATAAGGAAATTCAAAGCTGTAATGGATCTTAGAGACATATCCACTCCAATAAAACAATCCCAGGGTTTTGACCCGAGCTGTAATTGCATTGACAAGAAATAACTGAAAAGAAAATAACCTAATAGAAAAAGAAAAACAACAGGCTAGATGATTTCCAATCCTTTTCTTACAGACACATCTACTCAAGAAATATGACACAAAAGATACTAAGCAACATTTCTGAGCCTCTACGGTTCATTCTCAAAGGATTTTCTCTGCTTAATGCAAAAATGTCTTTACCTACAAAACTACATCATATTAGCACTATATAAACCAAAGCTCTCCAAACTAGTCACCGTTGTGATCTGCTTCCTTAAAATCTTGAAGAAAAAGCTTGAAGAAAAGAATTTTCACTGCTCAACCTGATAGCACATGCCTATAATCCCAGCACTCTAGACAATGAGGCAGGAGAATCACTTCAAGGGCAACCTAGGCTAGCTACATAGTGAAAAGCCGTCTCAAAAAATAAATACATAAAAACTTCACCTAAAGAAGAATCTAACCAGCCATCCACAGAGCAATAGCCTTCCAGAGAAGGGAAGAGGCACACCAAAATGAATCTACTGCAAGCAGCAAAGATGAAACTGCTATTTTCCTTTAAACTCAGGAGTCACCTAAAGGAAAGCCCGAGAACCAGGACACACAGCACCACCTCTTACCCAAGGGTGAAAGGCAAGGGCTGAGGAGGAAACCAAAGGCCCTCTAATAGGACCCGTCATGCATACTTTGCCATTAGCAAGCGACAGCAAATATGACAATCCTTTGCCTTTCCTCATAAGCACAACATTCTAAAGGAAGCTAATCATAGAAAAAAGAAGGGAGAGAGGGAAGGAACACTTAAACAAGAAAAATTAGGTATAAATCTAAAAAATATGTAACTCACGGTCACGTAATAAAAGTCATAGCATGTCAAGGATTCCTTTTCAAAACCACTGTATCCCTCAGTGTTCCTAGCACTAAACAAATACCCAGTATGTATGAAACAATTAAAGGATTTAATTTCTGTCCCTTTAGCACATTTAATCTGTAGGAAAAGAGGTGGTTAATGGAGAGTTAACGTTTGGACACTAAGACTACTACTCCAGTGTTAAATTAGCTTCTTATAAAACAAAGTCAAGAGCTACAATTAGTATTATAAACATGGAAAAGTTTGAACTTTAATCTGAATATAAAATAGAAGAGAAAACTACCCCCACTCCAAGCAACTGCATTTACCTTAGCCATGACTTCTGGATCTGGTTCTTCCACAGGGTCAGCCCATTCAACTGTAACTACATTTCCCCATACTTTTACTTTTCCACTCATCAGCCGACGTCTGGTTTGTGCTGCTGACTTGTGATCCTCATATTCAAGGAAGCAGAACCCCCGATTCTTCTTTTTGTCATCGGGTTGATGATACAGAATAACGTCCACCAAACCCTCTGTTAAACCAACAGCCAGATATATAAGCCAAAAGCATCCACCACACATCTAGTGATCAGGCAGACCTAAATCCACTTGCCAATAATAAAAAAAAAATTGAAAAGGCCTCAAAATGAGTCACTACTTACTTAGTAGACAGTCAAATCAGCATAATTAGATACAGGGTTTGGGACAGTATTACATGATCCCTAAATTTTACGGTCCTAAAGGTACAGCCATATGCAACACAACTACTGTTATTTGTCACTTAACATCCTACAATGTTTTAGAGTATCTGATGTAACGTGACCTCCTAAATTTCTTGCGGGGGGTGGGGGGGTGAGGCGTTCCACAATATAATTCAGGCTGGCCTTAAACTCACTGTGTAGCCCAGACTGGCCTTGAACTCTTGGCAATTCTCTTGTCTCAGCCTCCCAAGAGCTGGGATTACAGACGTGCACTACATGCCCAGCAACTTCATAATTTTTAGAAACACCATCAAGAACCTTCAGAACCAAATTATTAACAAAATTCCAAGAACTTTCAACAACTAATCATGGCCAAATAACCTTCTTTACTTACATCTAACTTAAAAGTTATAGGTTTTTTCTAATACTGAGGACTGAACTCAGGACTTTTCACATGCTAGGCAAGCACTCTTCTACTAACCTACATCTCCAGCCCTACCTCTAGGTTTTAAATACTATCTTTTTTTTTTGAGACAGGGTCTCACTGTGTAATTCAGGGCGGCCTTGAACTCATTACATAGCCAGACTGGCCTCAAACTCATGCCAATTCTCCTGCCTCTGTCCCCCAAGTGTTGAGATTACAGAGGCATGAGCCACAGATATACCCAGCTATCTATCCTCTTATAAATGCTTTGATTTTATGCTTAGCCCAGACTTCCCTAAATTCACAAGTGTCTACTCACTTAAAATGCCCTCCTAGATGTCTCAGACAAATTAAACATATCCCAAACAGCACCACTTTGCCAAAAATCTGTCTTCCCTGTCTAATAATACCACCCAACATACTCCTGAGCCAGAAACTAATGAGGCTTTCTTGATCTCCTCCCTTACTTTCTCTTTGCCTATATAGTTTCAAACCCATTCACTTCATTCCACGCCTTGCTACTGCCATCATCCAGTCAGCTATCTGATCTGTGACATGCTTACCTAGCTGATCAACTTCCATCCTTGACCACACCTCCAAGCCCCCATCCACATAGCAGTAGGAATATTTTATAACTATAAAACAGAAGTCATTCCTTGCTTAAGGCCTTCAAATACATTAAGACTTTCTACTTTATATAAATCTCGTGATTTTCCTTTTAAAAACGGCCTTCTATGTTACTTTAATATACAGAATTATTCCTTGCCCTGAAGACTCAGCTGGTATGTGTTGCACTTCCTTTTGCTTTTCATATACTGTATCCTCTCCATTCAAGTCTTACTTGAAGTAACACCTTATGAGAAAATTTTTCCATAACCACAGAAAGAGGGACAGTAGCTATTCTCTAGCTAAATATTTCATATTGTTATCTTCCTAGCATTTAATCACAATGTGTACATATTTCTTTAAATCTGGGGTCTTAATTCCTTTCCCAAAATGTAGACTCTTTGAGGGCAAGGAATAGGTCTCTCATTGCCCCCTGTATGCTAGTACATAGCACAATGCCAGCACTGAACAAGTCTTAATAAACACCTGCTAAAGGAATGAGAAAATGGACATGAAGCCAGAAAGAAGCTGGTAAGTAATAAAAAGTGACAGTTAAATAACTGTTCCAGTGAGTTATCTGACCAACACAAGGGGCAGAGGCAGTTACAAACTGGGATAGAAAAATCAAGATTTTTAGATGGGCAGAATTTCTAGTGTCAAGATCCAGAATGTGACCTGCAGATGGCAGAGCTGCAGTAAAGGATTATAGATGAGAGCGGTCACAGAACTGGGAGTCTGGGGCTCTGGACAGGTCATCAAGACAGATGTCAAAGATATTAAGAATAAGTCAGCTTAGGGCAGAAGAAGAATATAAGTCTGAAGCAGTCTTCAAACTAAAGAAATGCTTAAACCAGAAAAGAGATCAATGAAAGCTTTAAAGGAAAAGAACATTATGTCTGAATGACCAAAATGTAAAGGAATATTATTTTAACAATAAAAGACAGTGCTCTAAAACAGTGTTAACAAATCAAACCTCGCCTCAGTCAACCTCAAAAGGCATTTAAAAACTGTAATG